AACCCAATCAATAAATGAGCTAAGGAGCCGAACAGACACTTCTCAAAGGATGATATACAATCAATCAACAAATATATGAAAAAATTTTCAACATCTCTAGAAATTAGAGAAATGAAAATCAAAACTACTATAAGATTTCATCTCATTCCAGTCAGAATGGCAATTATTAAAAATACAAGGAACAATAAGTGTTTGGGGAAAGGGCGCATTCATAGATTGCTGATGGGATTGAAAACTGGTGCAACCAATCTAGAAAGTATGATGGAGATTCCTTATAAAACTTTGAATGGAACCACCATTTGACCCAGCTATCCCTCTCCTCATTCTATACCCAAAGAACTTAAAACAGCATACTACAGTGATGTAGGCACATTAATGTTTATAGCAGCACAATTCACAATAGCCAAACTGTGGAATCAACCTACATGTCCTTCTACAGGTGATTGGATAAAGAAACTGTGGTACATGTGCACAATGGAATATTACTCAGCATTAAAAGAGAATAAAATTATGGCATTTGCAGGTAAATGAATGGAGTTAGAGAACAGGATGCTAAGCAAAATATGCCAATCCCCAAAAAACAGAGGCCAAATGTTTTCTCTGGTAAGTGGATGCTAATCCATAATGGGGGGGAGGGGATGCATGGAGGAACTTTGGATGAGGCCAAGAAGAGGCGGAGAGTAGGCAAGGGGGTAGGAATGATGGTGAAATGAGACAGACATCATTACCCTAGGTACATGTATGATTGCATCAATTGTGGATAGATTTTCTAAACAATACTCTGTAATGTCAAAAAATATTTCATTGAGTATTAATCCAAATAATAAACTATTTATACTTTTGTTTTAAAAAATACAATTCCTTTGATAGAATGGAAAAATAATAAATTGATTAGACTTAAGTATTTTGGGGGAAGAGATCTGAAATGCTTGATCAATGGGTACTAAGTCATAGTGACATAAGAATAAGTTCTTGTGTGTATGATAAGGTGACTATAGATAATAATTATCCACTACTTTAAAAAGCTAAAAGAAAGGAGTCTGGTTATTTGCACTGAAAACAAATGAGAAATGTTTGATGGAATAGATAGTTTAACTTGATTTAAACATTATGTAATGTGTACATCTATTGATATCACATGATACTCTTTTAATATGTACATTTTTTGTTTTCATTTATCATGTTTTTTAATTTAAAGTAGTACTCATATACATGAATCATTAAAAAAATTCCACTTTGAAAACAGAAATCAAAAAATTCAGATGTGTACTAAAATAGCATGAAGATGAAGAGCTTTCAATGGTCTGAAGGAAAATACTTTGGATTAAAAAAAACTTATGTGGCTAAATATTTAAAATAAACAAGAAGTGAGATAATTAACTAACAAAGAAATAGAATACGAACAGAAAAAGAAATTGCAGGGGCTTGGGTTGAGGCTCAGTGGTAGAGCATTTCCTTAGCATGCATGAGGCAATGGGTTCAATTTTCAGCACTGCATATAAATAAAATAAAGATCCATCAACAACTAATAAAAATATTTTTTAAAAATAAAGAAATTGCAATGACTTCTGAGAAAGAACCACGGGGGAAATATTTTTCATAACCATTTTACTGAGAGGTTTAATATATAAACCATAAATATGGAAAATATATTTGCAGTCTTACTTAAATCATGAATATATTGTTCACACATAGTACAAAAAACAAAAGCAAAAAATAATACTTTAGTTTTTAAAAAGTGGCATATTGATACAGGCATGTTAATTGATTTGTAATATTAAGACTATTGTATTTTTTGTCAGAATTTATAGAAAGCATATCTTCTTACCTAAAATGAAAACATTGGAAATTTTCTAACCATACAATAATGCAATATTTTAAATTACAATAGTATAATTTCAAAATGTAGCTGCACATGATACTTAATATGAATACAATAGAAAAAACTGCAGAAGTCCCATTCAAATATTTGATATATGTAGTTATGTTGGTGATATCAAAAAGATTTCAACTTATTTTCACAACTTTGCTTCAGTATAAAGAAGTTTCAATTATGCAATATCTCCTCCAATTTATTGTAAATCCTTTTTAAAGTTGTTTTAGTATAAAAAATTACAAATATCTACCTAATTGCCATCTTTCAAGAATATTCAATCTAATAATTTATATAGATATTCCAATAACTCTTTAGGGGTCCAAATTGCCACTGATTATCATAAAAAATTGTTTTAGGAAATAAGGAAGCAAGAGATTTTTCTCTATTGTTTATATTAATGGTAAATAATGATGAATCACACTCCATTTTTAGTATTATAAAATAATTCTAAAATTCTTACCTGATACTACACCAATTCCATCATCACAGTCATAGTCAGAGACTTCACTATCACTTATTCTCTTTGACCCTATGAAGAAAACAACAGCAATAATTTAAATTGCTGATTATTTAAGAGGAAAAAACCCTAAACCACCTGAAAATAAAAAGATTTCAAGTTAAACACTTGAGAATAAAAAGTATAGAGAGAAGTAAAATAATTATGAATGAGTTCAACAACACTTATTTTCACACATATTACAAGATATGAGGATAGAGGTGACAAGGAGTTAAATACTTACACAAGAGTAATCTGGGAATGTGTAAGACAAAGTTTCTAAATGGTTTAAAGCTTGATTTAAGTATGAAATAATTACATAAATTATTTGTTACTGACTGATGATAAAGTTAATTGAAAAATAGGTATGTGCTGGGAGCAGTGGTAACTGTCTGCACTCCCAGCAGCTTGGGAAGCTGAGGCAGCAGGATCCAGAGTTCAAAGCCAGCCTCAGCAACTTAGAGAGGACCTGTCTTTTAATAAAATATAAAATAAGGATGGGGTTGTGGCTCAGTGTTTAAGCGCCCCTGGGTTCAATTCCAAGTACCAAAAAGAAAAGGTAAGTTGGTATTTTATGATTTGGGGACAGAAGGACCTAATTCTAGATAAATTTCAAGATAAAATTCATTTTCAAAAGAATTAATGTGTCTTTTCTTAGCTTGTTTTTCTAAGAAATTTGTTATATCCAATTATTTTTCATGCTCATGGAGAAGTATAATTCAGAAAAGTCTATTTAAGATATTTGAAAACTTCCTTTTTTGTAAAAATTTTTAGCTAATTCTCTACTGCTTTAAGAAATGAATCATGCATAAAATCAATACATCTAAATTATAAATTGTGCTATTTTCTAATAGCCTAAGTGCATTAATAGTTATTTTAATTTAAGAACACTGTGTGTGTGTTCCTTACAAAAGAAATCTATAACAAAATTTTCAAATATTAGTCCTAAAATGGCATACTGGCAACAAATTAATTCAACTAGGGCTTTGATAGTTAATGCAGATTATGACTTGACACTTAATTATGAAACTTCATGTACAGAAATAAACATATTATTGTCTACATTTAATATTTATTTTCCCCTATATGTGTCTCAGGAATATACATACCCTATACAATAGAAGCCTTTTGTTAAAAACATTTTCCTTCTCATGATATTAGTAAGCATTTACTGATAAATGAAAACAGTGTTGCTGTTTCCAAAAATGACTTCTTTTGTCTTTCCTCTTACATTACACATTATTAAATAATTAGAGTTCAGTTTTATCAGAAAATATATGCTTTGTGGGCTAAGAATATAGCTCAGTTGGTAGAGTGCTTGCCTGGCATGCACAAGGCTCTGTGTTCAATTCCCAGCACCGCCAAAAAAAAAAAAAAAAAGAAAATATATGTTTTCCTGTATTGTATATGGTTTTTACTGTAGAGATATAATCAATACGTTCTAGGAAATGCCCTTCAATTTTGCAGACTACTCTTATAAATACTCTGTGTGTTTTTCCCATTTCCGTTTGGTTTGTTTATTTGCTTACTTAAATCCCTACCTTTTGAGGGAAGGCAAAGTCTATTGCCAGGAGCCAAAGTTCTCATTTTCTTCTTAATGGCTAGGAAGAAGACAATGTGCAATTTAAAATGTGCTGGATTTAATCCCAGCATTAGGGATTAAATCCAGGGTTGTCTGTATTCTATAAAAGTACTTCATCACTGAGTCACAAACCCGATCCAGATACTTGGTATTTTAATCATGTGATTCCACCAAATCGACTCTTATTATTCTTTCCACATTTTTATGTCATAAAGCTTTAGAGACAATCACATCAGAGGTATTTGTAGAACCAACTAATTTTGAAATTAGAATTATCTGACAACTTCCCAAAAAACTGGGCAATTTCCCAACGGAATGGGCAGAAAGAGATATGTAAATGAGGACATACATTCTAAATGGACTTGAGATAGGAGAGGAGTCACACAGATGGAACTATAGAGGAGAGAATTACAGAGTTGCTGCTCAGCCTACAAAAAGTTTTCATTTGGCAAATGCTCAAGGATGAGAGTAATGCTTACTTGACTGTACCTGGCACCAGTTTTACCTGGTACATAATGGAACATAAAGATGACCAGCTTTTGGTATTAGCCAAAGATCACATCAAGAATTACACCAACAAAAAATGAAGTTCATTTTATCATCTTCAAGAACTGTTGTGTGTGTGTGTGTGTGTGTGTGTGTGTGTGTGTGTGTAGATAGGGAAGGGTGTCATAAATGATTTTTAAATGCTGTTTCCTTCCATATCTTATGTTTATATTCAGATTGAGATTTTATCTGTTTTGATATTAATCATGTAGAGGTTAAATATATTGCAATTATGTTCTCATTTCTTTTTAGTTTTTGTTCTTTGACATTGTAATGATGAATTCCTTAGTTTAATTAATTTATTAATATTTTCTATTAAAATTAGTGTTTTCACTATTTGTGGAACTATAAATTAGTACAACCACTATGGAAACCAATATGGAGAGTTCTCAAAAAAACTAAAATGAAACATCATATGACCCAGCTATACCTCTCCTCGGTATTTATCCTAAAGAATTAAATTCAGCATACTATAGCAATACATCCACACCCAGATTTACAGCAATACAATATACAATAGACTAACTATGGAACCAGCCTAGATGTCTGTGAATGGATGAATGAATAAAGACAATGTGGCATACATACAAAATGAAGTTCTATTCAGCCATAATGAAAAATTAAATTATGTCATTCGCAGGACCAAGGATGGAACCTGAGAACATTGTTAAGTGAAATAAGCCAAACTCAGAAAGTCAAGGGCTTTATGTTTTCTCTCCTATTTCCTTTTCATAAAAATGAAAAGAATGATGGTGGGAGATCTCATGAAAATCAAAGGAAGATCAGTAGGGGAAAGAGACCTGGGAGAAGAAAGAGGAAAAGGAAAGGAAAAAAAATGTGAAATGAAGAGTGTTCAAATTATACAGTTATATTGTAAATATATTGAATATGTAACAATGAATCCTACCACTATGTAAAATTGTAGTATACCAATTAAAATTATGGACAAAAATTAGTGTTTTCAATATTTTTAAAAAAATCTTTCCTGACCTTATAAGCAGAGAATTAGACTCCTTCATTTTCTTCTGGAAAGTTTAAAATTTTTGATTTTTGCATTTATATTTTCATTCATCTTAAAATGAGTTTGCATATAGTGTGAGATACAGATTCAATTTAGTTTTCCATAGGGATAGCACATATCTCAGAATTATTTTTTTATTATTCACCACTTTCCCATTTAACTGTGATCATACCTCAGTCATACATCTCATTTGCAAGTATCTTTCAGATGCTCTATTTTTTCATTGTAAAGGCTGTATATCTATAAACCAACAAATCACTATCTATGTTATTCTGATATATGCTGAAAAGAACATCAATGAACATTATTATTTGCATCTTGGATTTTGTCCCTTTGCTCTTCCATATAAAGTTTAGATTTAGATTACCAAATTGACAATGAAATGTCATATTTTATAGCATTATTTTGCTAGGCATGTACATGGTATCTTTCCCATTTGCATTGTTTTAAGGTCTTAGTATGAAATTTCAAAATCTGACCAACAATATTTTTCCTATTTGTTTCATGTGTCTTTTGTCTACTGCTATTAGAAACATTCTTAAAAAAGGATCTTTTCTAACAATTGCTCAAATACAGACATGCAATTTCAATGTAAAGTTATCCAACCATATTATGGATCTATCTTTTTATTACTAGTGCTGTGATTATTGTTTGATTTGATTTTTCCTTATAGAAAATCTTTTTCCCTGGGCTGGGGATGTGGCTCAAGCGGTAACGTGCTCACCTGGCATGCGCAGGGTGCTGGGTTCGATCCTCAGCACCACATAAAAATAAAATAAAGATGTTGTGTCCATCGAAAACTAAAAATATCAATATTAAAAAATTCTCTCTCTCTCTCTCTCTCTCTCTCTAAAAAGAATAAAAGAAATTTTTTTCCCCAATTCTTAGCTTTGTTTTCCCCTGCCTTACTATACTGAGAATCACAATGCTAGAAAGAAATGGGATATATTACATCTTGTCTAATTTCTGATTTTAAGTATAGTTTTTCTAACATAAATGATATGTGCTGAAATTACACTTGATCAGGTTGAGAAAACCCTTAAATTGGATGAAAACAACATAAATTTCAGCCTTTTAATGTGTTTTAACAAAAGCATTGTTGTCTCAGTATTTCCATTTATTAATCAAACATTTATATGTGATATATTGATCAAAATTCAATTCCAGGCATATCCTTCTAGGACTATCATATATTTATTATACTCTAGTAAATCTAAGTTAACATCAATTGAGTGATATATCAAAATTACAGAGATCATGGAGCATGAAAAAATTTTTACAATAGAAGTTTTCATAGTTTAAAATTTTCAAATATATGAATAAAATTTATCTTCTTTTTAAAATAATTGGCCTAATAACAAAATGTTGAAGAATATATCCTGTGTTATGTATGTTATGTTAATTCTTTGAATTCTAGTAAAATGAATGATGGAATAGCCTACTAATAATTTTTATAAGTGTTTCATGAATTAACATAGGAATGTGAATTTATTGTTAGGTTTAGAGTTCTTCATTTGATTCTGAGATTAAACTTGTAATTTGTGCTCTTTGATTCTTTTGCATCTTCTCTACATTATTATATGACTTGCCGATGATAAAGAAAGAATTATATTGGAATTGACTCCCTAGCAATAAATTTGTGATTTTTTTCTCTCTAATGTTATTTTATGTGTATTGAAGTTATCAATACTTGAAAGATGAAGATTATCTCAATAGATGTACAGAAACATTTGAAATAGTTATCTACATCCATCAAAAATCACAGACAGGTAAGAAGGGAATTTCCTCAAACTGATAAATGACATTCACAAAAATCTACAGCTAACAGTACATTCAGATATGAAATATTAAATACATTCCCCTAAAGAAAGAATACATAAAGAA